TAACCCGCTGCGCCACCAGGGAGGGCCCCGAGAACATAGCTCCTTTTAATAAATTTGTTCAGATTTGTCTCTTCTAGACTAGATCATGGCAGTAAAGATATCAGGCAGGTTTTTCTTTTAATCCAAGAAGAATAAAGTATTTTTAGGATCTCGGGAAGGTATGAAGAGGAACTAAAGGCTGAGCAAGTAGCAACTTAGCCTCTTGTTAACTAGACCACCAGAAGACCATGTCACAGCCCACCATTTGAGGAACAAAAACAGTGGCTGCCACCACATGCTTGACACATGCTCAGGACCCACACTGCAAAATGAGGCAAAGAAAATTCCTGACATTTTCTGACAGCTAAGTCACACAATGAAAAACACATAACACAAGAGGAAGTGATCAAGCTGAATATTAAATCTCAGAGACCTTTTCCTTGCTTAAATATAATTTGGCATGCTAGAATGTACTCATTGCTTTATATAATCGTTAAAGTTTCTTTAAAATGCTACTAAATTCTTGCATTGCAGGGAGTGGTGCTATTTTGATAGTGTAAATATATATTACTTTCTTAAGCCAAAAGATAGAATATATTTTTTGCTGTTTCTAAGAATGCTATATTTCACTTAGAGCAAAATGCATGTACAAGCAGTTATATAAATGTATGTATCACTGGTAGGCAAAAAAAAAAAAAACATGTAAAATAATTTTTCAAAATTTCAAAACTTGGCTTTGTTACCACTATCTCTTCTCCATGAGATTATAACAATGAGTTCAGTATACATTTTCCTTTGCTTGACTAGAGTTTTGAACAGAATGTTTCATCCCTCAGCCTCAACATCCTGGAGGTGGTCAACAATATAAGGAACCATGAGTGGGAGCTACCTTGGTGTCCTATTCTGCTCAGTACCCAGAGTTCGAACACCCACAGTGAAAACTTACCACCACATGCGTCACAAACAGTATAGCCAACTCTCAAACTTTCAAAGATACAGTCCACCTACATTTTTTCCCCTGTTATTATCATTTGGCTTTTGTAACTCCAAATGTTTCTCTTTAGCACAGAATGCATAAGAGCAGAGAAAAGAAGGAAGCACCCAGTCCATGTATCCTGCTTGACAGCAGCAGTAATGTGCTGGGACAGGGATGGCAGTCTAAATTCCCAGCTCAGTGTGTATTTTAAATCATCAGTGGATTTCAACACATTCCTACCCCCAATATTACTAAAAATAAAAAGTCTACTTTTGCAGCTTTTGGGCACATCAAAACTGACCTTGAGCAAAGCAGGGCAGCAACATGAATACCAAGTACTACTTATCAAGTGTTAGGTCTGTGGAGAGTACAGGAGAGCCATGCTGTGAAAGAAAGTGGGGATTTGGAGCAGGGAAAATCTGCATCTCGGCCCTTACTCACTAGTGTACAAAAACTGGGTCTGGCTGTGTCTCATCCCACACTCAGCTTCTCTGTAATAACCAGTGAATAACAATAATTATCACTCAGAAGGAATTGTCATCCTGAAATTAAATGATAAAAATATTTTTAAAGAGTAGCAGAAGGGCCCTTCATGGTGGTGCAGTAGGTTAAAGTGCAGCACTAAGAAGCTAAAGCCACTTCCGCCTGAGTTCGATAGCTGCCTGCCCCGAAGGTGATCACATGGTGTAGCAGACCTCTCCTGACCCGCCCACTGCTCCCCTCAGCAGTGTACTTCGTCAGTTGGCCTGTTCAGCTCCCCATTCTGGCTCTGGTGAATTCTCTCACTTGCCCTGTACCTCTGGCCTGTACCCCAGTTCTGTATGTATAAATTAATCTTAAAAAAAAAAAGAGTAGCAGAAACATTTACTACGATATTGTCACTGTAAGTAATATGATTAACTGGATAATTCCTTGGGCCAATGGTGGCTAGACTAAACTTCCAAAAGGAGGGGTAGAGCCTCTTTGTTTCCATCAAGAAATGGTACATCAAAGTACACAAAATCCTGCTGCCTTAGACTATCTTTTAAAACAAACATGTCTACTTTTGAAGAAGATTTGCCACAGAAGCCCTGCCGTGAAAGCTCCATCGGTATCCTAATACCTCTCAGGTCTCATGCTTCAATAACCCAGATAATTAACAGTAGCAAATCAATGCATCTGGTTTTAGGAGATTTTTTTTTAAAGATTTATTTATTTATGCATACAAGAACTGGGGTACAGGCCAGAGGTGCCAGGAGATGAGAGGATTCACCAGAGACAGAGTGGGGGGCAGAATAGGCAGATCAATGAAGTACACTGCTGAGGGGAGCAGTGGAGAGACGGGAGAGGTCTGTCACATCATGTGGGTCACCCCCCTGGCTGGGGATCAAAGTGCTGCAGTGACTTTGAATAGCTTCATAGTGCTGTGCTTTAACTCACTGAGCCACCAATGAGAGCCCTAGGAGGTTTGTTTTTAATACTTCTAATTGGCTTTCCAGTTTGTAAAGACCTCTGACTCAAAAATTCAAATATAAAATCATTTAATATGTATTGGAAAAGATTAGCCCAATCTTATGCAAAATAAGGAAGCAATAAACTAGATTATTCAAAATCACTAATTAAAATTGACATTTCAAATCAGTAGAATATGAAAAACACAAAAGAACAGGAAAGGTCCCTAGTTTAGCTGCTGTCACTTGAAAATGTATTTCAAAAGAGAAACTATTATCCCACCTCCACCACTATCACCACCACCCCATTACAATTCTTACTATCGATATTATGAAAACAATTACAACCCCAATTACAACTTTAAGACCAAGAAATCAATGCAAATACACTGCTAGCTATAAACATTAAATATGGAAATATTTAAATAAGTAATAAGCAAAAGAAAGACCACATAGTTATGTCATGAGATACGTTTTGTAAAAAAGCTTTGTCAAAAATCCCTTTCAGATTATGAAAAACAGGAAAAGGATATTAAAGTTAGAAAAATTTGTTGACTTGTTAAAACTTTTCGTTATTGAGGAACAGCACTTTATAACACTGTATATAACTCAGGAATAGGTTTGCACCTCCTCAGCTGTCACCACACCACACCTATCATCAAAGCACCCACAGGCCACTGGGCACCCTCTCCCCCTGTTCCCTTTTTATGCTGACTTAAAAGGATGTGAAACTTAATATGACTGAGTTAAACAGGTATGTTTATAGTGGACCTTGATTATACTTGCACAGGTTATACTTCACGTCAATGCCTTAAGACAAAATGATAATAACATATTACAAAATTCTTTTATTTGGAAAATATGTTCCCCTTGAAAATATAATTTGTAAGCATCATTTTATCACATAAATCATTGAAATAAATTTTCTCTATAGCTCTAAACCCATGAAAATAACAGCTGGCTTAGAAAGCTTTCCTATATAAATATCACACCCATGGTGAAATCGACAGTCTTTTCATGGAAAAACAAATTAAAATATGTGATAAAATTAGAAAATGTTAAAAAGACTGTCTAATCTTCAATTTCAGAAAAGTACTACTTGAAATAAGGTGAAAATGAGAAATTATATCTATTTATATTTTGGGTGGGCCTTTTTTTAATATTACCATCAAAACTTAGCAGAATTCTGAAATGATAACAAAAGATTGAAACAACATTCTTCTGTGTGCCTGGATATAACCTTTTTCCTTCTCATCAATGTACACATTGATGAAATGTAGCAATGTGTACATTAGAAACGAATGTAAAAGGAGTGGTCATCTAGAAAACAATCTTTTTTGGCATTCTGTTTCCTTGAAATCCCCTCTAATGTTCTTCAACCCTTTTGGAGACAGTGCCTGAACATAATAAAACACTGTTTTACAAAATGGATTGTTACACACATAATGTCTCCAAGATTGACACAGCTGAGCTTTCTCCATTTCCAACTTAAAATGCTGCTCTGACACTCATGTTTCAATACAAAGATGTACTTCCCAATGATGTCAGAGAAGTAGTATGATGAGAAATACTGATTAATAACTGTTTCACTTCAATAATAGATATATCAACCTTCTGAGTTTTCATCTGGATTGTTGTTTTTCTTTTTCAAAGACAGCTTGGATTTTAAAAGTTCAACAAAAAATGAATTGCTCAAACGTACTTCTATCACCATGAAATTTCTTGCATGTTTTTACTGCAACAAAAATGTCTTCCTTCTTCACTGGATTTCCCTAAAAAGTAAGGCAAAAATATGTGCATATATGAGTCAACATTATCGTAACTTCATACTCATATTAGATCACTCATGTTCTAGAATTCAAATGTCAGAAATATCAAACTGTTTCCAGGATTAAGTTTTAGGGCAAAAGAGAATTATACTTTAGCTGACAGAAAGCCTTTGTTGTCAGCCAGCCTTGGGAGTGAATGTCATCTCAGCTGTTTATACAGTGTATCATCAAGTTTCTGAAGCTCTATGGATTTCCATGTGCTCATTTAGAAAACAGAAATAATTACAACCAGTAAAGTCTATTACTACTATTACTTATTAGCACATGGTAGGTATCCAATAAGTGTATTACTTTCCCTCCCTTTTCTCCAGCTGGTGGAGATTTTGATAGGAGAGAGGCAGGGAGATGTATTAGTATAAATATGACTCCCTTTTGTGGGCCCAGATTCACTTTGATGTTTGCAGTATAAAAATTCTTTAATTGTCTACCTGAGACTAGGCTACAGTGATTGTTGTGTCAGTGCCAAAAGTAGGATTAATGCAAACACCTAAGGGTAGGGGAAGTCCTGGAGCCTGTGCTGGCTCCAGGTAAGCTGACCCCTGAGCTGAGAGGGAGCAGAGAGGGGTGTGTGGACAACCCATACCGGAGGCCATGGACTGCTTTAAGGGGCTAGGGGTTCTGACCCTCTAGTCACTGGTCGTAGGCTTCTGATAACATTCGGTCATGACTCCCACATCATTTGGGGTTGATTTAGAGTGACTCATAAGCAGTTTTATCAGGTCATCAAGCTATTAGGAGGCTGACCCCTGCAGATTCCCTAAAAAGAATATTTTAAAAACACACAAGCATGTCTGAAAAGACAGGTCTTCTCCCTTGGAAACTATGTGAATATTATAGTTTCTCTCTCATTGTTGCAGTGTGTGTGTGTGTGTGTGTGTGTGTGTGTGTGTGTATAACCTATATCTCTGAAATTTAAACACATTCTTAGTGATGGGATAAGAACAACAGACATCTGAGGGTGGTGGACATATTTTTCCACATGAGGAATTACTGTTAACAACTTTCAAGGGTATTCAGGTTCATCCTGGGGACCAGAAAGAGCCTGCTCTGACAAATAAGCTCATCCTGAAAGTTCTAGACAGTCTCAGGTGAGACGAAAGCTGAGGCCAATGGCAGAGAGGGTCAAAGGCATGGGCTTGAGGAGAAGGCTCAGATATGATGGAAAATGTTTAAAATTGCCTTTCTAGGAAACAAAATGGAAATGTCAAAAGACACACAAGCTATATCATCAACAACAGAAATTACTCCAGGCACACCAACTTGAGAGCTGTGGCAGACAGTGTAGGCACACCTCCCAGACACTGCGGGTTCAGTTCCAGGCCACCAAATTGCAATAAAGTGAATCACAGGGACGTCTTGGTTTACCAGTGCATAGAGAAGTTAGACTTCAAGTTGTACTGTATCTTTAAGCATAGCATCCAATAGCATTATGTCTAAAAAAATAGTGTGCATACCTTAATTAAATGTGACACATATACGCAAAGAGAGCACATGCTATTGGAAAATGGTCCCTACTGACTTGTTTAAGGCAGGGTGATCACCAACCTTCGATTCGTTTAAAAAATAATGCAATACCTGCAGAGCATGATAAAGTAAAGTGCAATAAAGCAGAGGTACCTGTCCACCATGAAGGTTCTGGAGTGAGATTGTGCCAGTGACAGTCCTTACTCCCTTCCCTGTGTGCTGAGTAATCCTGAGCAAGGCCTTCTCTTCTGTTACGTAAAAGGGGGTAACTGCAGTGTGTACTTTACAGGGCTGTTACTAGTAGAATACAGAAACTGGTTCTTACCTGGCACATAACAAATGCTGATTTTTTTTTTAGTATATAAAGAACTAAATCAACATTACTTACAGCATGCCAATTGTCCTTGATATGCAAGTAAGTTTTCCATCGATTACTTACACAAAGTGGTAGAAAGGAGTGAAATGTTGTAGCACAGGAGGCATCCACAGCATCTGTACAAAACTCAGACACTGGAGTAAGGGGAGGGCCAGTGCCTTTGTCCCAGATGTAGAGGGCAATCTGTCACACAACAGGAGATGGCAATGAGAACTCAGCCCACACCGCAAAGCAGGAGGATGAAATATGAAGGAGAGCAGACCACGCCTTCTGTAGAGAGTGTCTGACTGTCTGACTGAACCTCAAATTGTCAATATTCAACTGCTTTCTTTACTTACAAAAACAGTTATTTCCATGTAGATCAATTTAATCTCTTATTAGCAATAAACAATTTACTGAAAAACCACTATTCTGATCTCCAAAAAAAATGCCCAAGTTGTCATAAGCAACTTTAGGGAAGCTATTTTAGGAATTCTAAAGCATCACAGGGAAAAATGAAAGAAAGTATCTCGACTGGTTCCCTGCAGTACGATAATTACACACCATGGATGACCAGCTTGCTGAAAACACCTAAAAATGCTGGATTTAAATATCTTTAAAATCACTTTTAACATACTGCTAAACTGACACAAAAGTGTGGCACTCATGAGACCAAAATGCAAAAGTAAGACCTGGAGTGAACAGGCACCAAGAGCAGGTTTCCCCAGGGAGTATCAGCTAATGGTGATACTGAGTTCTGATTGGGAGTTAAAAGAATAAAGTCTGTGACCCACCCGGGTGGGGTGTGTTCAACAGCAAGCCCCCATAAAGATGGGATTTCAAAGCTAGATGGAGAGGGGCAATGATGTCCAAACCGCCTCTGAGATTTTGAAACCAAAACCACTGGTACCTTAGTGGGGGGAAGATGGGTACATGGGGGAGAGGGTTCGCACTGTTGAGAATCACCAACATCACAAGACATGAATGTTTGAATACTAAAATTTTTACCCAGACCAACCAGGACCATACCTCATGTTTTAAATCTATCGTAAAGTCAGATTTGAGGGAGTCACTCTTCAATCTCTTCGTAAGCCTAGAAAAGATACATCTTGAGATTTCTTAACCAGAATAATGCTCAAACAAGTATAACACATTCTTGAAATTTTCTAATGTTGAAAATAGATAAAAATCCAAATTTTAACAGAAAAATAAGAGTTGAATTTCCTTGAGGCAAAGAATTATAAAATACAATTATTTTTGACCAGGAAATGAACACAAGACTGGTTGCAAAGTAGCATTCATGACTTCACCATCTGGCAAATAACAGATTATAAAAATACAATATAATAAGCAAAACACTTTTTTTTTTAAGTCCATGTAGTTTGACTCCTGGTAGTTCTCACACTAAATAATAATAGAAAAGAAAAAAAGGGGTACATGACAGAAAACAAAAGTTGCTAATCTTCAGTGTCATACTCTTAATAACACAGTGAGTCGCCATTTGGTAGAGAATTTAGGGAGATATACATGTGACTTCAGGGAAGAATAACAATTTGACTTCAGTCATTGTCTTTAATGGCTCCTTTCAAGACAGAGCAAAGCCCCAAAGCAAAGCCAACCTGGAAGCCCCAGCAATCCCACCACCATGCCCAGTTCCTCCTCGGCACAACCTGTCATTCCAGAGTGCGCCCCTGCCTGCGGCTCTCTGCCCCTCAACTGCCCGATATGTTGGGTAATAAATACCTGTACTTGGCACAATTTTCTTCAAGACCAAATTCAAGAGCACCTTCTCGGTGACTTTTCAGACTTGCCCACCAGCATAATGGAAAGTGCTTTTGCTCCCAGACAGAAGCACACTCCATTAGCTTTACCACACACCACAATCTGCTGTCTCTAGCTCACCTAAGTGCTGTCAGCCCCACCCAAGAGTACCTGACTAAAATGAGCACTCAGTGACCAGCCTCAATGGACTGAGCAAGAGTCCTGGCTTCAAAGCTGAGTGAGGTAGAATCACCTACTCACTAAGACAATCCAGTACCACAGAATCACATATTTGTTTCAGGCCTGGAAACTAGGCCAGTAGTTTTAATTACAAACCTCCTAGTAATACTTTTTAGCTACAAAGAAATAATAGTGATTTTAAAAAGTAGCAATACGTTTCAAAAATCTTTACTGAACTTCTTACATGGTTGAACCACAAAAATTTTCTTTAAAATTTATTCTAATTAGAGGAAAGATAAAGGAGGAGGACACAAGTTATAAATTCATTTATAAACAAATAGTACAAAGCATTGTCTGCCAGCTGACATTCACATAGTTTGGTGGCAGACAACCACCCAAGAAGCCCCATGTAATCTCTGTCATCCTCCTGCTGGCACCTGCCCACAAGTTTATACATAGGAGTGGGCAAGGATACCCAGACACAGCCTTCACAGATACATTCTCCATATGTGTTAAGGGAAAAAAGTCTGCCCTGGCAAGTGGGGTCATACACAATTAGAATTCTGCTTTGTGGGGGCTGTTTATTATAAATAAACTGTATTAAGGGATCTTTGGTATTTGGACTCATGCCAAATGCCTTCAACATCTCATCAGACCACACTCAGATTCCAAAGACAACATCATGCCAGGGCTGACTGTCACAGACCTGGACACGAATCTAGTGGCCGGTGACACCCTCTGTTGGGTGGCCAGGTGTCACAGACTCCTTCCAAAGAACAGGTAATAAACACCTTTTCATTGTTACTGTAAACACACCCTCTACTTTTTGATTTTTAAAAGCCTTTCTTTGGGTGAATCCTCTGAAAGAAAAAGGAAGACTGCTGATAGAATTTCTTTGAGCGGGACAATGACTGGTTAGAGGACAAATAAGCATGCCCATTTATGTTTTTATGGGCCTACTTCTAGCTGCCTGGGAGTCTACCATAACCAAGGAGAGCTACCTCAGTATCACGGACTTCCTGTTGAAGATTTGGCCTCATGTAACACTAGAGTCTAAGCCAACTACCAGTGTGTCAAGTTCAAAGTGTGCATAGCATTCACCGACTTCAGAAGGAACTCCTAGTGCTGGGAACTCCTAGTAGGCTTCTTTCCTTTATGCACCATGCAAAAGAGCACTAGTTCTTCGAATACTAATTTCATAACTAACAATGCCAAAAAATGAAGGCACAATATTCCTATTTTAGATAAAATATATCCTCATTAAATATTCAGGCCCTTGTAAATATGACATTTTAATAGCTCTCCTAATTTTACAAAGGCATTAATTCATGTCACCAAAAACCCTATTTTAATTACATAACCAGTCTGGAGATATGTAAAAGACATAGGCCTTTTCAACTCCTTAGTAAGGAAGCTTCCTAGCTGACAGTTCTAATGCTACTTGAATCAGGTGGCAGGACAAGATATTGAAGAAAGCCTAGAAAACCAGTAACTGTTCTGTGATAACTCATATTAGAAGAAATCATCTTAATTGTTCTGTGATAACTCATATTAGAAGAAACCATCTTACTGAAAATTAATGAGTTTCTTCAAAGACATATGTATTTTTTTATTGATGTTACTGTTAGAAGACCACATAAATGAATCACCAGGTATTATTGGCAGTATTAATTTAAAACACAATGATGTGGATTCTAAGGCCAAATGGTATTTTTGGTGGGGTAGCAGTCTAAGAAAGTACAAGTCATGAAACATCATTAACTAACCATTTTCCTTGGTGGCCTAAGATGAAATACTTAATGACTTATAAATTGTTGCCCTATTTGCAATAAAGTCAAGAAAAGGACAAAAAGGAGTTAACTATCCGGTAGTGGGCATTGTTGGCTGTAACAAAGAGCTACCTTTTCTTTCTTCCTGAGGGAAGCGCGATTACATTAATTATCCAGCCTAACAATTTATATGGCCACAGTCAGAATTACTTTGTTTTTGTTTTTAATATTTTTTTAAGATTTATTTTTATTTATTTATTTATGTATACAAGAATTGGGGTGTAGATCAGAGGTGCAGGGAGTGAGTGGATTCACCAGAGACAGAGCGGGAAGAGGAACAGGCAGATCTACTGAAGTACACTGCGGAGGGGAGCAGCAGGCAGGCAGAAGAGGTCTGCTGCTCCATGTGGATCACCTCTCTTGGGGATCAAACTCATGCTGCAGTGGCTGGTGATAGCTTGATAGTACTGAGACTTGAACCCGTGAGCCACCAAGAGGCCCTGTCAGAATTACTTTAATTCCAACCAAAGCACTGAATTCCTGGCAACTGCTAATAGTGCAGAGTTGGTATTTAGCTAAAGTTGGATCAACCAACTTTGTCTGAACAAGATCCAACTGAGACTGAGCAGAAGCACTTACATCCATGGTTTATTTTCTCTTTTTCTGAAAGAGAAAAAGAACCCTCACTTTCTTTAGTGATGTCTACAGGCTTTTGTCAGCATTTTTTCTAACTGTCTACTATATAAATGTTCAGTAATTGTCCTTTGTCATTCTTTACTACACAGTTCCCTCAAGCTCCCTTCATTTTGACATAAATGGCAACATTTCATCTCTCATTACTGCTAAACAGTATCCTGTAGGGTAAATAGACAAATCTTGATCCATTCACCAACCAAGGGGCATTACAATCCATGGTCTACTGCCGGGCATAAATACGAAATGTGTAGCCCTTACTGTCTTGAAGCCACATAGGGAACCAGATTAGGATAAACTGGTAGCGTTAAAGACAAAGAGAACCAGGGTCCTTAACACATTGTTGAACTCCTGCATCAACCAACCACAGGCATCACTGTCCAATTATAGCAACTTTATTCCTTTAATCCAATCTGAATAATTTTCTGCTATTTGCATCCACATTAACTGATCTAGTTCCTAATAAAAGAAGGAAATAAAGTCAGCACTTTAGATTTAGAACTGGACAAATTCAGCTGGAATGATCCAATTTTGCAACTGATGGGGTAATGGATACACTAGGCATTAGGTTCAAAGTACAATATACTAATTTCATAAAGAATGAGAATCTTCTAATAGAAAGTCATCCTACATCTATCTTAACCACAAGATAGTTGCTACAATAGACAGGGTATATCTTTTTGTTTGTTTTATTTTTGTCTATACCATGATAAAATGGAAATATGATCTAGGATAAAATTTATTTTTATTTATTTAATATTTATTTTTATTTATGTATACAAGAATTGGGGAGTAAGTCAGAGGTGAATTTTTCTTTTATTTTTGCTGGCAGAAGAAAGGAAAGGTAAACAAAGAGGAGGCCATAAATATTAACTAACAAATTTTCTATAGTTTGTTGGTCATTGTTTACTGTTGTGCTGACAGTGAGTGCAGGTTAACTGGTGTCATTCCTCTGTCACTGTAGAGTTATCATGGAAGGGCCAGGAACTTTCTGAACATGTACTAGCCTCCCAACACACCCACATTATAATGACGCAGGCCCCGTTTCCTTCCATATCTCAGAAAACTGCATTAGAGTTGACCAGAAAGGGAGGAAGCTGGCACTTGTCCACAGAGGTTTGTAATAGTCTCATAAACATGACAAGAAGGAGAATCATGGGAACTGTGGGACAACCACTACAAAATGCCAGGTAATCATCACAAATGTCCCCTTAACAAGACTAATATGTTGGCTAATGAAGAACTTGAGCCCTAGTTCACAAAGCCCCTGACTGTTAGTCACATGGTAAGCATGAGACACTTAAAAGATGAGTATAAGCAAGAGCCAGAAGAAGTTACCAAGACCCTGGCTGCCTGGACATGACGAGCAGTTAAGCCAGAGAAAGAATTCATAGACCCAAAAGGTCATATAAAACAGGTCATGTTTTGATGCTAGCATTCCAAGAACTAAGAGCTGAGCTACACTATCCTAAAAGAGGCCATTACGAGTCAAAGACATATTCATGACAGAACACTTTCAACCACTTGAATGAAAAATAAGTAAAAGGGAAGCAATAATCAGCACCTTACACCTAACTCAATAAAAGCTAAATAGAATTCAACATCAAAAGATTTCCAAGAAGGTCCTTGCCAGATGGGGACATTGTAATGGTAAGAAGGAAGATGGGGCCCTCCCTGGTGGCGCTGCGGGTTAAAGCACAGTACTAAGAAGCTAAAGCTACTTCAGCATGAGTTCAATCCCCAGCCTTGGAGGTGATCCACACAGCGTGGCAGACCTCTCCTGACCTACCTGCTGCTCCCCTCAGCAGTGTACTTCGTTGATCTGCCTGTTCCACTACCCACTCTGTCTCTGGTGAATCCTCTCACCGCCACTGTACCTCTGGCCTGTACCCCAATTCTGTATGCATAAGTAAATCTTTAAAAAAAAGGAAGATGGAATTCTCTAGACTACCAGGATTTGCAGAATGAGAGGCCTTCTGTGTCAGATGGGAGAGATGGAGGAAGGAGGTTATAATGGCTCCAGAGAAATGGCTTGTTTCCCAGACCTGCTGTGTCAGGTCTATATAAGTCTACAGGAAGAAGGCATATTCTGCACTCAGAGACCTTTATAGGCCATATAGTTCTACTATTTCCTCTCAAGGGACTTGGTTTTCTATGAAAAGGGCAAGAAGTAGAATCATGAAGAGTTTATAACCCCCAAGTCAAAGAAACCACAGTTACATGGAACTTCTGTGGTGAAGTTAGCCCAAATAATTCCATGTTATGATGCAAAGGAAAGTGAATGAGGAAGGACTAGAGGAAGCCTCCTGTTGCTGTGGGTTGGAAGACAGCAACAAGGAGACCAAGAACAGCAACTGAAGACCAGGCACTGCAACCGGGTCTGGGATATTATGACTTCTAAAGAGTCCAGGCTAAAACAAAGGTTAACTGCACTGGTCCTAAGATAAACAGCTAGTTTGCCTTTTTTGATTACTGAGTAATATTCTGTTATGTATATATAACACATCTTCTTGATCCAGTCATCTATTTTTGGGCAATTGGGTTGATTCTATATCTTCCCTATTGTAAATAGGGAACAATAAACATAGGGGTGCAGGTGTCCTTTTGAATTATTGTTTTTGTGTCCTTTTGGTAGATACCTATGAGTAGCTCCATTTTTAGCAGTTTGAGAAACCGTGCCATTTGCGGTAACATGGAAAAGATCATGCTTAGTGAAATAAGCCAGAGAGAAAAAGAAAAATACTGGAAGGTAAAGAATCAGAAAAAATATATATATACATATATGTATACATAAACACACACACATATATATCATATATATATATGTATATAATAATATAAATTGTAATAAAGTAAAAAGAACATCAGCTAACAACTATAAACCAGAGACATTCTACCAATGAGGAGAGGGGGAAAAGATCAAAACCGGGGTGGGAAGAGCACATGGGACTACGGTGATGGCACATGGGTGAAGCGGTGGTAGGAAGTCCACGGGGATTACAACTGAGATGAGAAAATAAATAAATGAAAGCATAATGCAAAAAAAAAAGTATTTATAAAATAAAGAAAAATTAAATAATAATAATAGTTAAAAAAAAACCAATTAGACAGCTAGAAAGTATATCTCGGGAGCTCCTGGTATTCAAACTGCAGCAAACCCAAACCTAATTAATTTGAGAATAAATATCATTCTGGGCTGCTGAGGTAGAACATATACCCTTGGCTCCTCAGAAAGCAGAGCTGGGGAAACCCGCAGAAGGGAGCAGACAACTCCTACTTCCTGCTGGAACATGTGGCAGTCCTCCTAGGCAAGCCTGCTCCAGGGTGGAAGCAAGGCATCCATGCCAAACAGTCTCAGCTTTTGCCCCTGGATCAAGATTCTCAGCTAGAGACACAGAATCTACTCTGGTCACGTTAAGTACAACGTGAATTCATCAAAGCATATAGTGGCCCACAGAATTGCTCAATAGTCTAAATAAGGAGTGCTGAGGCTGAGATTCCAACAACCATGAGCAGAACTGTACCACAGAAATGGGTGATCAAGGAGCTCTGCTCCTTAGGAGTGGCTACATCAGGAAGCCAAAGTCTCAACTACCATTCCCCAAGAGCCCCATCTTCTGCCACGGCCTCTAAAGCTATGGACTCCCAATCATGGTCTCCTTCCCTATACAACTCAGTTCCCCAAAATAACATTCCTCAGGGCTTTGAGCTGATGGACTTACATCCCATGGTGGCTCCAAGTAGCAAGGAAAGCAAGATGAATAGGGTTTCTTGCTGTTATTATGATGATTCTATTTTGGAAGGAGGATATCACATTGCAAACAACTTTCAAATGTGAAGGGAGTAATCATGAAGTTTTGATGAGCCACAAATATCTACTGCCTTTATATTTACGAGGGGCTCAAAAAGGTTCTCAAGACTCCAGTCCTTGGAACAGGACACCAGGTAATAAATAACATCTTGAAGGCCACAACTGCCTTACCAACTTTTAATTCCCTAAAGAACAAACATATACAATAACTAACCTGAAGCATTTGGACTATGGCGGCCCATCAACAACCGATTCTGAATTGCAATTTAGTTATCTTCACATTTCACATCTAACAAAGCATGATTATGTTTCTACACTAAGGAGCAGGTATGATTACCTGCAGTGTCTTTTGTAGCTGTTGCCTTGCCTGAATCATGTTGAAATATAAATAGCCACACAGATAACCAGTCATCAGATGCAACCCTCCACATGTTACTAACTCATTTCCTTACTGACATCAAAATCATGCCCATAGCTAACCAGGTGCACTATAATAGTAACACTTCCTGGGCCCAGTTCTCGGAAAATGTATGTGTTCTACATTAGTCTCACAATTTACTATTCCTCTTATCTTACAGGTGAGTAAAAGGACGTACAGAGGCTCAGTGATTAGTCTCGGAAGACTAGTAAGTGATGAAACAGAAGCAAGAACTTGCAGGCACAGAGCCGCTGCTCTTGGCCTCTCCACTCTCCCACATGCTGCCTCTGGCTGAAAGCTTCGGTATTCCATTAGTTACAATACTAAGCAGAATAAAAGTTGATCCAGAAATCCACCACAAAAAATTCAAGTAAATCCATACCTGTTTACAAGTGGAATACTAAGGGCCCAGCCAGCAGCAAAGTCTGGGTACTTAAAAACTGTTGGATTTTCAGAAAAGGCATAATGGTGAATTATTGTAGATTCTTCATCATATAATGCTTTTCCTAAAAACCATTCCTGTTAAATAAAGATATAAAATATCATTTTTTAAAAAAAAGCCACTTCATGTAAGTAGAAAAACAAAGCTATAGCATTAGTTTTAGCTAATTAAATAACCAGAGTGACGGATAATGAACACAGATCACATAATTAAAAGAATTTTAAGAGAAATATAATAGCCATATGATAATACATATCTCACAATCTCTGTAAATAAAGTAAGTAATTTATCAGGTCATCAGAATAAAAAAAAACGTTAGTAATATATAACAATGGTATTTTATAGAATACCCCACAGCAAAGACTTAAGACAAAGAAAACAGTGTTTCTATATGTCCCATTGAGGTTCGTAAAGAATTTGAAAAATTCCTTAAAAAATAAATGCCCATTTTATTCACTTATTCATTCAATCTATTAACACTAATGTTATCAATTTACATTTAACACATTACTCCACATTATCCCATATGAGGCAGGAACATAGTTTATGCAGTATTGGGGATGCAGAAAATAAGCAAATAATGAGTGCAGATAGTGATAGCAATGTGCTGGTGGAAACACATATGACTGGGGTACTACCCCAGAAAGAGGAAATTTATCTGAGGGAACAACTGAACTGAGAGGAAGGAATATAAGGGGCCCAGTAATGTGTGCTCAAATCTGGGCAGAGCATTCCAGGCAGTCAGTACAAAGTCCCCTAGATAGAAAAGTGCTTGAAACATTCAATGAAAAGCATGTCCAGGGGGCTGGGTGTGGGGAAACATGGGCATGAAAGAGGCAGGAAACAGACCTGGGTGGGTTTTTGGTGGCAGTGAAAAGAAGCAAAGACTATCAGAAATCAACAAAGGCAGACAGGATAGGAGGGCTAATGTCCCAGAGAAAAGGAAGCCCCTTCGTGGGAACCCCACTCACCTCCTTTTACCCACTGTTTCCCAGAGCAAAGAACAGCCCACAACCCAGTGCAGCCCCTAGGGATTTCTGCAACCCAGCTGAGTGGGGAAACAGGTTGGAGCTGGCAGCTGCCAAGTATGACATACAGATGTAAGGAAATCCCAAAGAAGCGAACCCAAACATCATATGTAATTTCCCTTCAACTCTGAGGCAAACAAAACCTATAGAATGATCAAACAATAATGCAACATACCAGGAAAGACTGAAAAGCTGAACAAAGGCCTTGGCAGCCCAGTGCTGAGGAGCCCACACTAGAGTGCAAGCTTCCCCAGAAGACTGGGACCTGGAGCAAGGGCAGTCTATAAACAGGCCTACTCAAGCGAGGTCGACAGCCCACAAAATTAAGCCATCTTTTAGAAAAGAATGTCATCCACAGCCTTTTTGATTTTTTAATAGTGAAAAATTGCCAAAGATGTCAAGAAACAAGACTAGACAAAAAACAAACAGGAAGTAAGAAATAGAAAGAGATTCAAAGAGGAGTTATCAAAAACAAAAACTGATGAGTATGTTTATGAAAATAAAAATATTAATAACTAGAATCTATAAATAAGAGTCAAATGGAAATTCTAAGGCTGAAAAAAGGCAATATTGATGCTAGGAATTCAAGAGAACATTAGACACTATAGAAAGAGGACAATGTTCTGTAAGGTAAGTCCGTTAAAATATTCAGATTGATGTACAAAAACAGGAGGAAAATAAAGAAAATAGCATTAAAGCAATGTGGGCTTCAGTGAAAAGGTATAAAATAAACAAAGTTGAAAACCCGGAACAGGTGTAGGGAGAATGAAACTAAGTCAGTATTTGAAGAAACACTTAGAATCTTCTAAGAAAGACGAAACATATCAAATCAAAGATTCAAGAAGTTCTATAAATTCCAATTTATAGACAAATACAAAGAAAACTATGCACAAGCATATATTGCTTGAAAAACCGAAGAGAAAAGTCTCTAAAGTAGATATGAGTTAGGGGAGGGATGTATACACATTTCTTTCAAAGGAGCAAAATGAGATAGACTTTCCACAGAATCTGAGATACAATGTCTTAAGTGATAGATGAAAATCTCTAGGGACAAAATTATTTACCCTATGGCCTTACCTTAGGTAGAACTGGAAACCACTAGAGGGTTCGAGCAAATGAGTGATAAGTGATCTGGTTAGAAACCAGGACACCAGCCAGGGGGATCTCAAAAGGGCAAAGGCAAGAGATGATGGTACTCTGACAAGAGCTAGCATTATAGCCTGAGAAAAGATGAGGAGAGAAATACTGTGGAGCCAGACTCACTAGATGGAACAACGGGGAGCTGAAGAGAATAGATGAACCCCTCTATGACCATGAACAACAGGACCGCCAGTGCTGCTGTTTCTGATTTGGAAGATTCAGATGGAAAGGATTTAGAAGGGACAGAGTTTAATTTTAAACTGCTGACTTGAGGTTCCGATTTGACAGATAACTGGAAGCACTAAATCAGAAGGTGAAATAGCAGCAGGCTCACCCCCTTGGTTCAGACACTTTGCTCAAACATGACCCAATCATTAAGGAAGCCCCTTAGCCCCATACAGGACAGTAAGCCCAGCCCCATCTACCCTGTATTTCTCATAGCTGCTTTGTTTTTCTCAACAGCAATTATTACCATCTGACACTTTACTTATTTTTTTATTTACTGCTTATCTCTCTTGACAAGAATAGACCCTCCTTGTGGACAGAGACTTTGCCCATTTTGCTTTTTGTTGTATCTCCAGAATAACTCACATGTAATAGGTGCTCGCTTGTTTTTGTTAAATGAAAGAAGCAAGTCCAGGAGAGCTTAAAGGGAAACTATCTTCTAGTTAAGGAAACTGACACATATAACTTAAATCAAGCACTGTAGCTTCTAAACATTCTATATATTTTCCCTGCTAGCCATCTGTCACCGCCAAACTCCCCATCTCTCATCACAAAATACAGCAGGAGGATAACCGTACTGTTTTTTAAAGAGCCTACATCGGCTTGTGGTTGTGGCCCAGAAACCTTAGAATCTTAGTTTTGGTCAATTCAACAACAGTGTGAAAGCCAATAATGTAATGGTGTGTGTAGGTTCACAGATTTGTGGGTGATTTTCTTCTTGATACTCTAAAGATACATTAAATCACTGAATAAAAGGAAAGATAATAACAATAATAATAATAGTAATAATAAATGGCCTCAACCTTTAGAGAGGAGAATCCAACATCTTCCTTTTAAATCAGTAATACAAATGTACTACACACTAACCAATATGAAAATCATCACATTTCACATGCTTGTGTGAAATGCTTATGATTCAGTATCTTCCTCACTTATTTTTTTACTATTATAATACCTCCCAACATAGTTTTATGTAGAACACATTATGTCTTAACTCCTGATGGCAATGTTCAGCTATTTTCCAGCATATAAGAACTGTTGTTCAATCTTCGCAAGGGATTGTACTATACAAACTATAGCATCAATATATAATCTGTGGGAAGCAACATGCCTCCATCAACCTTAGTGGTATTCTTAATGGGTTCATAAAAAAAAAATATTGTCAAGACAAAACTAAAAGAATAATACAAATGTTGTTCTCTTAGTATATTAGAATAACCCTTTAACAGCACCCACATTCCACCTCTATTAAAAATTTTAAAATTCTGGCTTTCCATGGTGGCACAGCTGATTAAAGAGCAGCACTGCAAAGCTAGCGATGGCCACTTCACTGTGAGTTTGAGACCCAGCACTGGAGGTGACCCGTATGGTGCAGCAGACCTCTCCTGACCCGCCTGCTGCTCCTCTCAACAATATACTTTGTCAATCTGCCTGTTTTGTTCCCCACTCTGTGTCTAGTCAATCCTCTCATTACCCCTGCACCTCTGGACTGTACCCCAGTATTGTGTGCATAAAAAAATAAATCTTTAAAATAAAATGAAATAAAAATTTAAAAATGCAAAGGACGGGCCCGGATCCCATCATTTCTTTTCCCTTGGTTAGCCCGCAGGCAGGTGAATGGCAAGGACGCGTGTCACTGTAAGAAAACACAAGGATCTACCAAGGGTTGGTTCTGGTAGGAGAGGTGGTTTCTGTCTTTTGCACTTTGTTTTGGATTGGTAGGTTCATTGTAATGTGGCTTTACTGTTATTTTACTTAATTCTGGAAAAATGCTGAAGAGATGGATGAGCTATAAAGTTCACAGGTGCTCACCTCACCTGTCTGCAGGAGGTGGCTGCATACAGTTAGCCCTGCTGTTTGTGTCTTCATCTGTAAAGTTCTCCTACTAATGGAGGATGCTCAGGGGTTATGTGTGCAGAATTCCTAGTAGAAGTGGTTTATGCATCTATTCTGTAGCTGCCTGCACAATTGGTCTGGATATACACCCAAAAATGTGATTGTGAAGAGGAATATAGGCTTGCTGTACACTGTTATCTTTAAGTTCTCAGTACCAGTAAGTGAGTAAGATATTGGAGACTTTAATGAAAAGCCACTGTTCAAGATTTTTGTGGATAATAACTGACTGTAATATTTTATTATTCTCTGCTTCAAAAAAGAAAAAATGTGATTTATATCACCCTTCAACTTTATAGTATTTAACTGGTACAGAGTTTTGTGCATGTGGTTTTTAGAACACAAACTGTTTAATTCAGAGTTTAAAAACACAAGATGGAATAAAGAATTAAAAAGTCAAGACACTTTTACTTATATTAAAAGCATTGAGTGGGGGGAAAAGAAAGACATCAACAAAATATGGAAATTTATGGAAATCACCTAGAAAGGCAATTTAACAGAGATTAATTACTCTGTAATAAAGATTAAATTTTTCCATACAAATACATTGTATAATAGCATAAATTTGCATTAGTAAAAATGACATGAAGCTGCTGATGGAAAAAAATGTCAGAGCCAAGCAAAATAACTGAATCTCTAGCACATTATATAATTATTATTTTAACATAGTTTATTTATACCAAAGCTCAAACCAGATTTGACTTAAACTTTTTTTTTGAAATGTCAAATGGTGTGTGGAAAAAATACAGTAGTTTGAGTTAACTTCAATATTAGATAATTTTTATTGCCTAAATTTAGTTTCAAAAGAAATAAAGCATCCTAGATTTCAGAAAAGAGGGGGGAAACAGTTCATTTTACCTCACTGTACTTGCTGTTCATGAACTTGATTTGAACTTTTAAATTTATCATTCCAATTTTCATTAAAAAGCAGAGTGAGTCACTGCCTTCTGTACAGAATTAGAGCTATGGATAATGGAAAAATAATCTCCAGGTGAAGCGAACACTAAGAGGTGATTTGAACTCCTACATTCTAAAAAAAGATTTGGGAGTTTTTCTCAAGTCAAAAGGAAACATAAAAGTCTAACAACTGTTTTACATAAAACATGGCAAAAAAAAAAGTATATATATAAATGCTGGTTAGCATCATCTGAGGAAAGGGGGTGAGAAATGCTCATATTTCTTTCTTTTGAGGGAATTGCTTTTGTAGCCTAACAACCTTCTCACTCAATTTTATCTATAACTTCCCAGAAAAGCATGAAGACAAATCATAGTGGATTCTGCCAACATTTAAAGAACATCAAGACCAGAGGTTTTACTAAATAACAAACTTTCCAGTGTTTGAGAAATCAATCTGATGACCACTGTCACGGCCTTTTGGGGTGTACATCCGTAAACCCACAGATACCCAGAAACTGCCTTTCCTTCCCCATGTCCTTTTAAGATCTGACTCAGTTCTGGAGTGAGCATCAGAATGAGGGTGCACACATGTCCGCTGGCACCTGAAAAGGATCAATTCTATTTATTCCAAGTTTAAGGAATTCTACGGAGTAGCAGTGTGTAAGCAAAGCTTTCCCAAGAGAATTGAATATCCTGACTTAAGGGGAACACATCTCTTACACAATCTTCCACACCTGCTAAGACTATGAATGTAGCCTAGCAGGAAAGCTGACCTTTGAGGGCTATGTATCAGTGCTAAACACTGCTCAGTGCTAGGATTTGGAAGTAAACGTAGGCTATTTGCTAGACTGTATCTATACAAAATAAAATATGAAAATATGAAAGTGGCAGTGAACTTCCAAAGCAAGATACATCTCTTTTCATGTCAATTTTCTCAAATATTGTTCCCTCTGCTCAGAATATTCTCACTCCTATTAACTTCTTCTACTCATCTTACAAGACTCAGGTTAAATGTCACTTTCAGACCTCCCAGACTAGGTCTGAAGCCCAGCTATTTGTTTCTTACTACACTTTATGTTTCCCATATAGAAGATGCCTTGCTTTTAGCTGTTACTGCTTTTTGTTGTTGTTGTTTAAGATTTAGTTATTTGTGCAGGCCAGAGGCTCACAGGTGGTGAGAGGCTTCACCAGAGACAGAGTGGGGAGCAGAACAGACAGATCAACAAAGTACACTGCTGAGGAGAGCAGCGGGTGTGTCAGGAGAGGTCTGCCATGCCATGTGAGTCACCTCCAGGGCCAGGGATCGCACTTGTGCTGAAGTGGCTTTAGCTTCTTAGTGCTGTGCTTTAACCCGCTGTACCACCAGGGAGGTCCCTGTTACTGCTCTTTTAATGCTCCACCCTCACCCTCTACCACTCATGAGGCCAGGATATTTATCTGTCCTAAACCCTCCTATCCATAGTGCTTGATACACAATTGGTCCTAAAAAATATTTCTTATATGACATAATATGTGGTCATTACTGATAAAGAGAAATAATCAACTTATACTTATTTCTTAACTCTTAGAATATAGCTTTTAAATTCTCTGAAACTGCTAAACAGAAATTAAATAGATTACTTTTCATTTAAAATGACTCATTATAAGTTCCATCTCTCTTAAAGCTATATACCTGAAAAAGAATTATTTAAAATTGCTTCCAGATATTCAAGTGTTGCTTCTTTCCTTTCAATTTTGAATTAAGTGGAATTTCTTTTTAGATTGAGTCAAAATCAAATATTATTTTACCATTATCCCTAGAAGACAAAAACTGACATTGAAAATTCATTCACCTTTGATGGGTCATATCTTCTGAGTGTATTTAAGAGTTTTGGAATTTGTATTCTTGTCTCTTCTTCACAGAAGAAGATCCACGATGAATTTCTGCTATATGTCACAGAAAAACTGAAAAAAAAAGAAAATAGTTTATAGTAATCACTGCTACAAAGTGAGTTTATAATAAGGTTTAAAACTAATAATCCAGAAATGGATGAAGAACATACTTAATGGCAAGAAATCTAGATTCTATATCTTTCTTTAGTGTGTAATTTCAGTTTCTAGAAAAGGCAGATGCTAATATATCGCTTATAAAAATAGCTACCAAGTTCTTAAGGTTAATTCTTTCCATAATAAAACCAGTTCATATAATTTCAAAATGCAAGTATCAAACACATAAACATTTTATCTCTTAGAAATAAAATATATATTTATGTTTTCCATTCATGAAAAGCCATTCATAATTAAAAATCAATCATCAAGGCATTTGGTTAAGGTAGTGATCATAAAAAAACAGTTCAAATTTACTTCCCATATTAAGTATCAGAAAATCACACTTTTTAATAAGAAAAATATAAATATAAATACAATGTTGAGATAAAGATGTCCGTAATGTACATATTCCGAGTTGAACGTACTGTGGTAACAACGGGAGTATGGTCCATGCACCTTCCTGCTTAGCCAGCTGATGAAGGAGGAGGACTGTGGGGAGTTCCTGAAGAAGTAGTTATCAAAGAAGAGACATAAATAGCACAATATTATCCTTAAAATTAAAAAATAAAGATTATTTTAAGACGCAGGTGTTTACAGAGATACGACATTTTAGCTTTATAGTAGTCTCCTTTTTCCTTCTCTTCAGAAGATATAGAAAAGAAGGATCTACATAATCTCTCCACTACCCAGATACTAAATAGAGCCTAGCAGAGCTGACAGGAAATGTGAAATGTAGGGGGAAAAAAGATATATTTTTTAAATGTCTTAAAGAAACTAAATAAGAGCTTGGGCTCTATTACTAGAAATATAATCTGTAACTGAGGCAACAATAGTTATAGCTTAATGGTGAAATCTCACAACTGATAAACACAAAAGGAACTAGTATTCAGAAATATGACAATACTGTATATTTATACATACATATATATGTGTGTATATAGAGAGATGGAGAGATTAATATGCTTAAGGCTATGAATGTTAGATTTGAGGCAAAGCGCTTTGCAATATATTTCAAGTTATTACAAGTCACAATATCTAATAAGTTTGAATATCCCTTTCCCCAACAAACTTCAGTATATTCTGTGCTTTATACTAACTCTAACCTGGTGACTTATATAGGCAAAACACTGTAAGAATAAAAGCCCAAAAAGTAAGTAAATGCAGACAGACCTCTGAAAGTAGAGATAAAATGAGTTCAATTTTGGAAAGGTTTATATTTTACACTAATAGTAAAGAAAAATTAGGCCACACCCTCACTTGGGAAGCTACATAATGAAAGATAAAAAATCCTATAGGCAAGACAAGTTACAAATATTATGTATAACTTTGAATGGCAGGAGAAATGATTAAGATATAGATAAAGGAGACATAGTGACATGAGTGAGAAGGCTTGAAGTTTGCAGCCTCTTGGAGTTTTAAGATGCTCAAGAGTAGGAAAGAAAGAAATATTTCCATATTACAATGTTATATTAAGACTTGTAATGTTTGAAACACTACTCCAAGACCAATTCACAAGTCTCATTACTTTGCAAGCATACTACAACACTGATGTATATTGCAAGGGACAGAAAATTGGTATCATAGCACTACTGGCGTATTTATACTGTGACTTCAAAGGTCTAGCATCTCTGTTCATTAAAAAAAAAATCTTTCCAAGTTAGAATAGTGCTTGTCACACTGTAAGAGTAACATCAGCTCCTAAAAATAAATAAATAAATAAATGCCTAAATATTTGAAATGTTATGATTCTAAGGTAGATTTCACAAAAGTTTCTCTAAATTTATAATTTAAGGATAACAGTTTTTTTTTTTTTAGATTTATTTATTTATGCATACAAGAGCTAGGGTACAGGCCAGAGGTGTGAGAGGGTGAGAGGACTCACCAGAGACAGAGTGGGGAGCAGAGCAGGTAGGTCCATTGAAAAACACTGAGAGGAGCAGCAGGGAGACAGGAGAGGTCTGCTGTGCCATATAGGTCACTCCCTGGCCAGGTATCAAACTCATGCTGCAGTGGCTGCTGACAATTTCACACTGCTGAGACTTAACCCCTTGCACCACCAGGGAAGCCCAAGAACAGTTTTTAATATAAATCTTTGGAGTTAAGTATCAAACAAAACTCAATCCCACATTGTATGTGGTATGTATGTTTACTCCCATCTACCAATCGGAAATGCAAAAGAAACAAAGGTTATCAGACTAACAATGCAGCAGGTTAGAAAAAGAAATGTAAAGATTTAACGAGCAGTTACCCAATATATCTAGGGCTTTCTTACTGCTGATTCCGAAATTATGCAGTAACTCATTGTCTTGTTAAAAATTTATATTTACATATATATTCATATTCATGAGGAATTATATAAGAACAAAAACCAAGTGTGAAGAAAACTAATAATATTTGCATAAAGTTGAATCATGCTAATATAAACTAGCTAGAAGAGAAACAGCAAATATTTTTAAACGTTTTATAAAAAAAGTAAGTGGCAAGTGAGTTATTATATAGCAACTGAAATTACAATGATGAAAACTTTGTAACACTGGAAACATCTTATTTAAAGAGAAAAAACAGCCTAATAAATGCTAGACTAAAGTAAACTGTGATTACTAGTGGTTTAAAATCATTCTTATCTGCATTATTCTGTATATTGAACCATATGCCTGGATTTTAAATTTGTTTCATTAGATTAAAACAACAGTGGTGATCAAGCTTTCTGTAACCCTGAATCACCAAATAGAAAGGTTTCAAAAACTAGTGTGTTAACAGTCGCCAAGTATTTGAACACCCCTGTCTGAAAAATGTAAGGTAGGTTCTCCTCAGCACTCGGAAATTTTAGCTTCTTGATTGAGCTAAGGTCACTTTAAATTTAAGTAAATTTTCATCTACTAATCCTCAGCAAGATGCAAGAGCTTCTATTTTAAAGGCATATTTATATACGTACATATATGTATGTGTGTGTGTGTGTGTATGTACAGGTGTGTATAAAATGCAGGTTAGAGAAAGCAAACCTAAAGCCTAATTAGCAGTTCCCAAATATATCAAGAGCTTCGTACTGTTGATTCTGAATAATGCAATAGTTTTACTGCCTTTTTAAAAAACATATATATGTGTACTTCATATTCATGAGGGATGATGTGTGTATATTTACACACTCTGTGTATGAAGCACATACAGACCCAGACAAATACATATTCATATGTTTTAGCATGTCTAAGATAAAATAATTTAAAAGGCCACAGAAAAAATTTCCATTAAATGATCTTATCTCAATTCTAACCACTTAGAATTATAATAATTTCAGTTATTTCTATCCTATCTAGTATCACAATAGACCTCCTCAAAGATGTCACATGACCAGCTTACAGTACTTACAAATACAAAACAAAATTGAGGAGTAATTTTCAAATAAAAATCTAAGGGGGAAATAAGAAAATGTTATCTTACTGAGAATATTTAGAGTTGTCATAACAAAGCCACTCATGCATGCATTTCTGTCTGTTGTCAATCTAAATGTCTATTCACAAATCAGACTACTAAATCAAACTTAAAGAATGTGGCAAAATTCTACCAATAATGAGTTAATACCAAAACAGAGCAAGCATAAAAGGACTAAAATACAAATGATCAAATGTGGGTCAATGGCAGAAAAGGGAAAGAAAATCACAATAACTCAAACTTCTTATGTCAGCTGTTTGTCTCCCTGAACCAAAATCTACCTTTATTTCTATCATCAGCATCTACAAATATCCTAGTAAGCACTTTGAAGTAAGCACACCTACTGAACTGAGTTTAGTCTGCACTTTCTTAGAAAATAATTTTTATCTAGGCATAAAGTCACATTTAAAGCCACTTAGTAATTATTGAGAGCAAGTGAATTCAAAACCAACACTCTAATTCATTATCTGTTATTTATACATCTCCATCATCTTCATTTTCGAAAGGTGTTTTGTTCATAGCTAAGCATTCTAAAAATGCTTTGAGAATGGAGAAAGCCCATTATCCTCGTTATAGAAGGGAAATCATTAAAAATTTGGAGCGGCCCTCCCTGGTGGCCAACAGGTTAGGACACAGCACTATAAGTGAGCCGCAGCCACTTCAGTGCCAGTTTGATCCCTGGCCCCGAAGGTGACCCACATGGTGCAGCCGACCTCTCCTGACCCGCTCGCTGCTCCCTAAGCAGTGTATTCCATCCATCTGCCTGTTCTGCTCCCTGCTCTGTCTCTCACTGCCCCGCACCTTTGGCCTATACTCCAGCTCTGTATGCATAAATAAATAATAAAAAAAAATAGAGCTAGAAATATTAATAGAATGAATGAAAGCTAACAATTGAACATAAAATTGATTAATATTTTAATTATCATCAATAAACATAATTATCAGGAAAATTTTATTCTGAAACATTTTATTCTTTCTGCCTCTCTCTGGAAAGATTTCTAAGTCTTTTCTTGTGTCAAAGACTGTTCCCCCAGATTTGTAACTTGTTCATAATTTACTTTAAAATATAAATCTACCAGCACTTAAGTTTATGGTCCAATTCACTCTCACTATTCAGGCAAACTGCTAAATTAGAAAATAAGAGCCAAGACATTTGTTCAGTATTAGGAAAAAGTTCTAAAGGACAGAAACCTGTTTTAAGATAGATTCCAATTCAACTGCATTTCCAAACTCTACCATATATTACTTAGGCACTGAATTGAGTCTTTTAGACCAACAAATAAATTAGGATGAAAACTAACATCTGCTTACTATTATAGTTTCGTACATAAGAAGCAGGTATATCTTTTGAAGATAAACAATAGTAAAATATAATATACTGTTTGGAATATATATCAGACAGATTTATTAGCCTTTAAAAATCCAGTACTCATTTATAGACCAGTAGATTAGTGTGATGCCACAACAATGTACCTTCCAGTAACCTAAATGTATATTAAAATAAAAATTTTCTTCCAAATACCTGTCTTAATCATTATCTGTCCTTTCTTAATAAGAGAAAAATATTGCCTCTTTATTTATAAATTTATTTTCTAAAACTACTTAGACTTTGAAATACATTACTAAGTACATTTTTATAGTTCATATAAATCTATTTTAAGTATTCATTAATTCACAGAAGGCAGTAAAGCTTAGCATTTAAGGACCTAGTTTCCGGAGTCAAAGTTCTTGCATCAGAGTTTTCATTCTTTATCTTCTGAGAGGCAACCTTAAACTCATTCCATACCCACCTGAAGACTCTGTTATCTGGTCGTTAGCCTGGGATAACAACAGTCCTGGGATCAAGTAAGCGGATTCATGCCCAGGACTTGGCACATGACATGCATGTGATGGTTATTAATATTAACAGATTTTACACTAATTGCTAAGCAGCTACTATGTGCAGGTGCCTCTCTAAGAATACAATAAAAGCTGTGAAAAGACAGGGCAGAGTCCCTCTCAGACCTCACATCTTAAGTGAAGGAGACCGTCAGTAGGCAAATAAAACTAGAATACAATGCCAGGGATAAATGG